CATTAAAATTAGTTATAGAGCCTAGCACTGGTGGCTTATGCCTGTAACCCTATTTAGGAGGCTGAGATCTGATGGTCAAAGTTCAAAGCCCGACTGAGCATGAAAGTCTGTGAAATGTTTTTCTCCAATTAATCACCCAAAAACTATAAGTGGAGATGTGACTCAAGTGGTAGAATACTAGCCTTACTAGAATCTGAGCAAAAAAGCTTAGGGACAGCACACACACACAAAAGAACTGATACATACATATGTATATATATGTGTGTATACATATATATGTAAAATATGTACATAACATTTTATATACATGCATATATAAGTATGTTATTCAAGTATTCTTACTTGATTTTTAACTGTTAAATACATTTAAAATATCTAATGAATATTATCCATATATTTAACTTAAAATTTTTGTAGCTTTTATGTCTTTTTTTTTTTTCCCCAGGGCTGAGGACCGAACCCAGGGCCTTGTGTGCACTGGGAGGGCGCCCTTCTGCTGGGCTAAACCTCCAGTCCCTTAACTTAAAATTTTTAAATTTGAATTTTATTGTAAAAGTGATATACAGAGGAGAGTTTTAGTTACATAGGTAATGAGTACATTTCTTTTTTTCATTTTTTTAAATAAGTTTTTATTGTGAAAATACTGTACAGAGGGGTTTCAATCACATGAGCAAGGTAATGAGTACATTTCTTATCAAGCATTATTGCCTCCTCCTTTCTTTTTCCCCTCCCATCCCTTCCCTCTCATCTCGACAACTACCCCCCCCCCCCACCTAAATTGTAAAGTTCGTTTTCCACATAGCATCTTGTACATCTCATTGTTGCAATGGGTCAACCTGTATCCCAATTTAAACAATTTGCTTTTTCCCTTCTGCTCCCCAAATTATACCAACATCAAATACAGTGAAAATAGAACCCCAAGATAAGGACACAAGTGACTTTTTTCTTTCTTGCTATTGTTTATAACGTATTTATAAGGTACCACGTGATTTTTTGTTGTTGTTGTTGCTTTGTATGTCCCTCCCCCATGGTATAACCCCTGTTTTCACAGTACATTTTTTTGGGGGGGGGGTCCGGTCGTGGGGCTTGAACTCTGGGCCTGGGTGCTGTCCTTCAGCTCTTCAGCTCAAGGCAAGCGCTCTACCACTGAGCCACCTTCCCAGCCCCTCACAGTACATTTCTTTTTGAACAATGTTACCTCCTCCCTGGTTTTCTCCCACTTTTTCTCCCTGGATTCCCCTTTCCCCAGTTGTAAAGCTCACTTCCAACATGGTGTCTAATGAGTATCACTGTTGAATTGGCTTGTGCTTTGTCCTGCCATTTCTGTGATTCCCTTTCCTTTCTTCAAATCAGATAAACTTATATACAAGACAAAGGGTACAGAAATTTAAAAAAATGGCGACAACAAGGGATACATCGAAGGAAAAAAGAAAAAAGAAAACTTCAAACAGTACAATAAAACATCCTCTTGTTTCCATTTCTTGGGGTTCATTTCGATATGTATCATTTTATATGTTCATATGTATACAGCTATTGAGCCATTATGATCCTCTCCTAAGAATATCCTCCTTTGTTCTCAGTGTGTGAATGCTTAGAGTGCTGTTTAATTCATCATGTCCAAATGTAATTCTTTGTCTTATACTATGCATTGGATTAACTTGTAGATTTATAGACATATTCTAGTTATTACAAATGTTATATATATTTATATATTGCCTAATATAAATATATATTTAACTTAAATTTCTAATTTTTAGATGATTCAAGGCAAGTTATGCATGTTAATGGGGGACCATGTAAGGTTTAATCAAATTTTATATATATAACTTTATATATATATTTTTTTAATTCAAGGTAAATATAGCCCCTCAAGTATTTATCTCTACTTGTGTAGGAAAAGTGGGAGAAAACTAAAGAGGGGTTAACAATGCTTGACAAGAAAATGAACTCATTACCCTACTTATGTAACTGTCATATCTCTGTATATCACCCTTACAATAAAATAAAATAAATTCAAAACCCTTTGCTTCCAGCATTTTGAAATGTATAACACACACACACACATTTGTGCAGTAGTGTCCTGAACTGCTTGCTGCTCCTTACCAGCTATTCTCCAGGGTCTCTGATAAGCTGATAAGCACCATTATACTCTCAGCTCCATGCCATCAACTCTTAGATTCGCCATGTGAGTGGGATCAAGTGGCAGTTTCATTTTACATCAAGGTACCTAGTCACATTCATGTTATCACAAGTGACAGGTTTGCTTTCTTCGTTTTTTTTTTTTAAATGGCTGAATACTATATAAATGCACCACATTTTCTTTATCCATTCATCAGTCAATAGATACAGGTTGTTTCTATTTCATAGCCATTTTGAATTTTGCTGTTACAAATCTGAGAATGCACTTGTCTCATCAGCAGACTGATTACTTTTTCTTTGGATACATACCCAGTCATGGAATTGCTTGTAGTTCTCTTTTCACATTTTCTTTTGAGGAACCCATTTTCCATAAATCCTACAGCTGTAGTATTTACGTTCCCACCATATGGTGCAGGGTTTCCCTTTTTTATTTCCCTTCCAGTGCTTGTCATACTTAGAGTCTTTTTGGTATTAGCATTCTTACTGGGGTGATGAACTATCTCATTGTGGCTTAGATGACTATACTTGATTTTGAACAAAGAAACTTTCTTCTCTTTAATATGTGGAATATTCAGGATATCACTCTAGAGGGTGAGTGGCATGAAAATGCTTTCTTTTTATTAAAGTGATTATAAGTTACCTTTCTCATTTGCATTTTGGATAGACTTTTGGTGAAGGATCATTAGGCTCAGTGCTTTGGTTTTGCTTTCATGTCTGTGAAGACCCAGCTAAATGGACTTGAGTCTGTAAAAGGACAAGCTAAGGGATTCACACAGTCCTGTGGGCACATTAGTAATTTAATCTCTCTTATGGACCCTAATGGTCTACTTAGTAGAGGCTTCAAATTCCATCATGGGCAAAACATTATTTTTACTCTGCATTCAGCCTGTTACAGCTTGTGGTGTTGAGCAAAGCTGTATAAGCAAGGGAAACATTTGATTTGTGCTAAAAATTTGAAACAAGTAATATGTAATCTCTTCCCACCATACATATTTGAAGAGTATATGGTAAGTTTGTAATCTGAAATTCTGAGGTTAACATTTTAGAAGACTGGCAGAATGTTTGTTCCCATGGATTGTTAAAATAGATTATTACAGAGCAATGTGTGTACTCACTGAAATTCTCTTGTCTAACTCTCATTTTTATCATGTTATAACTGTAAATACAGCTTTTCCTAATAAATTTTAATTCTAATTCAAATCATATATCAGTCCCATACTAATTGGTGCTTACTATGTATAATCAGTTATAGCTATTGAATGTCTGAATTATTCAGATCACTATGATGACGTTCTGCTTATCAGAGATATTAGATATTAAAGCCATATATATATATACACATATGTATTTTAAAATGAATCTTTTTGTATTACTAAAAGTGGTATTGTATATATGTTTATCTGAAGAAAAGGGGAACAAAAATGATGAGACAAAGGACAAAGCGGGAACCAATGCAACAGTGATACAAGACCCTATGTTGGAAATGATGTGTACAACTTGAAGTAGGGATGGGAGGAGGGAAAGAGGGAGAAAAATGAGGGAGAGGGTAACAAGTTTGACAAGAAATGTACTTACTACCTTACTTATGTAATTGTAACCCCTCTGTACATCGCCTTGGCAATAAAACTAAAATTTAAAAAATCTAGAAAAATAAAAAAATCTATGACCAAAAAATATGATAAGTAGAAAAGATTTGACAAAATGGCTTTATGGATATGAACACAGATTATAAAGAGTTTGATGGAACTAAGAAGCTGTCATTGGGAGAGAACAGTATTTGTTTTGTGTTTTAATTTTTTCCCTTTATAATTCATAAAATATAAATCACAGCTTATTTACTGTATTTTATTTTGTAACTTTCAATAAATGTCCATTGAATTAAAAGCATAAAAGGCATAAATGCATAAATTTGAAAAGGTGCATTTTTGAGATTTTCAAAAATATGTATTTTTTATTGTAAAGATACTGTACAGAGGGGTTACAGTTACATGTGTAAGGTAATGAGCACATTTCCTATTAAGCATTGTTATCCCCTCTTTTGTTTTTCCCTACCTTCCCTCCACACCTCCCCTAAAAGATACATTTTATATTCAAATGGGCAAGAAAATAAGCTGGTCGAGACCACTTTGCCTAATCTAGTAAAGCTGTATTCATAGTTTTCTTTCTTGTCCTTTGATGTAAACTTTGACAGAGAAACTTATTACTGGAATAGGTATGGATAACACAGCTGTTAAAGTTATAGCAGTAGACATTTGTGGTTATTCAGAAAGAAGGAAGATACCACTCCTTATTAATTTATAATTATTAATTATACTACTGTCAATTATAATTATATAATATATTATATAACATATACTTATATAATATATTATAGAATTATATTAATAATAGTTACTAATAATTTATTATTCATATTACCAACATTTCATGTGTAAAACAATGGAGAGGTGTTCACCTAATTAGCATTTGGCTGAGATAAGATGAGTTACTTTTCTCATCAGGAGCTAATGTAGCAATCCAATTACTTCAATGAATTATGAACTTGGTTTTTCTTCAGCAGTTCACAAATAGAGATTGGTAATGTAAAAATTTAGATTAAAATTTAAATCTTAAACAATGACTTAGAAGTCATCTAAAGCATCAATTTAACACAGATATATTCTTTACAGCTGTGTAACAACCCTTATATTGTCAAAGTTGTGTAGAATAGAATGTTTGACATGTGATTTCTATGCAGTAGTTAGGTTGAGTTTTAGGTTTTATGGGAAGTATCTAAGCCATAGTTGAATCTTACAAAGTCTGCCATGTATTATCAGTTTGCATGTCTGCTGTGTGTCTCATGGTGCTGCTATCATTATCAGGTTATCTCCTGTGATCCCGTGGAACTGTACGAGTCTCTGAGCATTAACCTACAGATGCTTCTGTCATATTACTATCCCTTCGGCTTTGGAATCTGTTAAGGTAATGTTATGATGAAAAGATATTTTGTATGTGCCCATTAGCAAGATCTATATTTTCTATTATATGAAGTAGGTATAATTAGTAAGTCTGCTGGCATTTTTAAAATTATTTTTAGCTTTTATTTTGGTCTTAGCTTATTTATTATTTCAATATTATTTTATAATAGCTACTTTAAAGAATATATACATTGACTTCAAATGCATATTTCATTAGTTTACATTGTGCTAAATTAATGCATTGCATATATTTGTTAGAGTGTTTAGATGCTGAAGTTTTTCAGAAATAGTGAATGTTCCCTACTATGCTTGCTACACATTTAGGTAACAAAGCAAAAATTTTTCTCATGTTTCGGAAAAATTGACTTGTCAGTTTTGCTCAGGTGAAATACATACTTATTTGTTTTTCCTTGTTTTTTTTTTTTAAATTTCAACCTATTCAAAAATGTAAACATTTGTGTAGGATACCTATACCATTAAATATTAATTCGTTATATGCATGAAACTCACCTTCTTCTTATTACCTGAAAACTAAATGTTTGGTATTACTAATAGGAAGCCAAGTTGAAATTAGGTACTATATATTGAAGTGTCCAGTACTTAGAAGGGAAATGAGCTTTTTGAGGTTTTATAGATAATTTAGTCAAACAACCTTTGTTGCTAAGGTAGTAATAAAATTGAAGAATTATAAGGCTAGGGAAATGTTTAATCCTTCACTGTTAGCTTTTATAAGCACAAGACCAAATTAACTCAATAACATTAGAACAGTTTTAAGGGGAACTATAGAGAGTGAGGAACATTTCTGAGTATATTAGTAAAGTACGCATTGAATTGAAGGGTCATTTATTTTCATTCTTTCCAATATGATCAAACCTAAGCTAGGAATAATCTACTAGGATTAAATTCTAGAATTTGTGACAAGTATCCAAAGACTGAAAGCCTGACATGTCATTAGCATTGTTATGTGCTTGTCTCTTGTTGCTGTCAGCATGATCAAATTATCTCCCTGACACTGTGGGACCACGAGTCTCTTGTGATTGATTTGGGGACAATTATTTCCAGAGGTAGGTAGATTTACTTAAGAGTAATAACAAAATAAATTTCATAGAAGATAATTAAAGCAGGCATTCCTATGTGGTTAAGAAAATGGACTTTTGCTAGAAAAACTTAACGCTCAATCTCTCTCCAATTTTCTTCCAGTTGCTTTCTTTCCTTACTCTATTCCTTTTTTATTTATTCCATCTCTTTATGAAAAGTTACCTTCATTCTTTTGAAAATCATTTGCCTGGTGACCACCCTCTTATTACAGAACTTTATAGGGGACAGACAACAAGCAAACCATAGCAAGAACTGAGTGGAATTCATATTAGCTACAGACTTAATAAAGGACTTGGGCTGTTCCTACAGCAAGGACCAGCCTTGTACAACTCAGAACAAATACCCTTCAGAACGTGACATCAGAACCACTTGTTTGTTCCGCATGTACTTATATTTTAAGCAGCTTACTAAGAGAGAGATGGTGTTTGAGGGTGCTGAAATGGATTTCCTCAGGTTACATTTAGTTAGGACCAGTAAACTGGTGACTTATGCAAGAAAAGGAAAAAGAAAATCTTTTCCACAGAAATAGGGTATGGTACACATTTTTCCATTCTCTATTCCTCTTTATTAAACGATTTAAGATATATTCATATGATGATAATAAAAATAGGCCATCATATTTTGTTCATGAACATAAAAATGTATGTTAAGGTGCTATGTTATACCTTCCAATCAACTTTATTGATTTCTGAATGAAAGGTAGAGCTCATGATAGTTTTATGTGGCTGTCAGTCTCATGATAGAATTGGTGCAAATGAATGTGGATGAATTTGAGGCTTGGCCACAGCAAGCTAGATGAACCAAGGTTTTTTCTTTTTAGTTGTATCTGTACCAGTACTGGGGCTTGAACTCATACTGTGTACTGTCATTTAGCTTTTTCACTCGTGGCTGGCACGCTGCCACTTGAACTATAGCTCTATTGCCAAACCACATTTTTAAAGAAAGCTATGAACAGGGTGTAGGAAGTGGGTAAGAAGGAAAGAAAAAAAAAGAAAAATGATAATAGTCTCAGTGTTTAGTCACTAGTTTTAAGATAGACTATTGTCATCCCCATTTTTCAGATAAATGGATGAAGATATGTTGCTGGAAGTTCAGCATATATCCTATACTAAATTCTATTTTATTTTGCTAATATCTTCAAGTATCTTAAACTTACTACAAACATTTTCAAGTTGTTTCTGTTGTATCTTTCTACTCCCACCCCTCTCTGCTCAATTTTCATTGAGACCTTCTTTTCAAAAAAAAAAAATTACATACCATCTTTTACTCTCTTTTACTTCTTGTAGGTCTTTTCCTAGCTAGCTAACCCATAGTATTTTTTCCTATTACAAAAGCATGAACCCACTTTTCTAAATAAAAATGACTTCTTCCTTTTCCTTTCTTTCCTTCTGTAGGAATCTCAGGTGGTTCCCTAAACTATGCCTTTTGGAATACTTTTTTCTACTTTTGACTGATTTGATCCTCATTCTTCTATCTCTGATTATCACATATCACAAATAACAGAGGACGTATTGCCCAAATAATATAAAGAAATGTTACAAGGAAAAAAATTACTCCAATTAAAAACCAGCAAAAACTTTACCAGATGTCTCACCAAAGATGTACTGATTGAACATGAAAGGATTTCCACTTCATATGCTGTTAGGGACTGGCAAATTTAAGTAGAATGAAATATGACTACCCACTTCTTGGAATGCCCCAGATCCAAAGCACTAATAATGCCAAATGCTGACAAGGATGTGCAGCACCAGGAACACTCTTTGGCCATTGATGGGCATGATAAAATGGTACAAACCCTTTTGAAGTCTCTATACTAACAGAGTCTCTTGAAAGTAGCTAAAATGGCTTTTATATCAGAGCCATTAATCCATTAATGTTATAAAATATTACTCCACTCATGAGGTCAGAGCCTAAATCATTTCTTAAAAGATTCAGTTCTAATAGAAGAGATATTATATTTAGGGATAATGTTGAGTAGATGATCCCATTGCCCAGCCCTAGTATCTACTGTACTTAGCATGTCATCATACTCTCCTATATCCAGATGGCTGCTAGTACACTTTTTTTTTAAAGACTTTTGAGGACTATTTAAAAATCCTTGGGAGTAAAGACCCTTTGCTTTCAAGATATTCTCTCCACAACTCCTTACTTCAGGCTTCTCCCAAACAAGAAGTGCCATAGAATTAATAACTTACCCTTTCGACCTACAGTAACCTGCAACCAACGTTGGGTGAATAAACTCCAGAGCTATGTGTTTCATATGGGTTATCAATTTTAAGGAGATTAAGTTCCAGCCACCCACAATTGAGCAAGCTTGGTAATGTATCCTTGTTGGCTGTCCTCCCTTCCTTGTCTGGCTTTTCTGCTTCTGTGCAAGTGTTGCCTGCACTTTCCAAATGCGGCTTGTATCTAGACTCTCCAGTCTATCAGGATTTGTTTCTGGGGAACCTAAACTAAGAAATGCCTCTCAGACAACACCTACAACTAAAAGGAAAATTTGAAAAACTACATTTTATTCTTTTAATTTGTAAATACCTTTTAATTTTCAACTGTTTCCTGGAAATTCTACTTGGACATATCTGAAACCTGGCATGTCCACAGTCAAGACAGAATTTGAAATGGTTCCCACATTGATTTGGAAGAGATGATTGCTAGGACTTGGTCTGTGTGCTTTCTTCCTGCTCGTCTTGAAATGAAATCGTTTAAATAAATTCAAGATGTACTGTGAGCTTCCATTTCTCTGAGTGTGAATAACACCTCACAGAGATCTAACTTGCACTGTAAGTTACGGTTAGCTATTTTTACATGATGACCTCAGTCTTGGCTGGACTAGCTGGAATCTGGGATCAGTTAGTTTACATTTTGATTTACTCTGATAATGTTAACCTCAGACTTGGTTCAGCAAATATTTCAAGTACTAAGGTAAATATACAATGTTGTGACTTACCAACAATCTTTGTGTACAATTTAAGCATCAGTCTCCTAGACGTAGCTAAGTTTATATAACTATTTATATACCATGAAATTCATTTGAAGTTTACCCTGGCATATGATTCATAACTGAATATATGGAATGTGGCATGCAAAATAGCTAAATAGTGAATAGAAGATACTGATTTAGGTACATTTCCTTAGTTGTAGCAAGTCATATAAATAGCATCTTTTTCATTCATTTGTGTATAGTTAAATGAACATTTGATTTTTGTTTTACCAAAACAGTTAAAGCTCTTTATAGTCACTTTACTAAGCCTATGATTTATTTCATTTTTTTGGAGAAATTTAGATAGTTTTTTTTTACAATTACGAGTACTTTATTTACTTTTTTTCCATTGAGACAAAGTCTTACTATTTAGTCTATGTTGGCCTCAAACTTGCTGTTTAACCCAGACTGTCCCCAAACTTGTGATCTTCGTGCATTAGCCTCTTGGTTGCCGGATTACAAGTTTGTACTACCATTGTCTGGCTCTAGTTACTGGTATTTTATTTATTTATTTATTTATGTTTTGTCAGTTGTGGGGCTTGAACTCTGGGCCTGGGCACTGTACCTGGGTTCTTCAGCTAAAGGCAATCGCTCTACCACTTGAGCCACAGCGCCACTTCTGGTTTTGTGGTGGTTAATTGGAGATAAGAGTCTCACAACTTTCCTGTCTGGTCTGGCTTTGAGCCACAATCCTCAGATCTCAGCCTCCTGAGTAGCTAGGATTACAGGTGTGAGCCACCGGCACCTGGCTTACAGGTATTTTAAATAACAACTTGCATACATTCTTCTTCAAAACTGTGCCTCATCATTATTGAGGGTTTATCAAGATTGGTTGCTAGAAGTATAATTAACAAATCGGGAACACAAATATAGTACATATATTTTTTCTCATTCATTTCCAGAATATTTATTAATAGTATACAGAG